TGGGCTGGATCATGGTAGCTGTTTAACAGCGTACTACAACATCATGCAATTGTTTTTAGGAGGGGAAGTGAAGAATAATTTCTTGCACAGAGGGTAGAGCGTAGCTCTAATTGGAATTTGTCCTGGATAACAGAACAGGCTTGTTTACATTTGGCTGTGTGCGTCCACTAAGCCTTTGTGAACCACTCAGGTCTGGACAGAGTGACTCTAGCTGTGATTGCAACAAGACAAAAACGTTGCTGTGGGTTTCACACCCTGACGCTTGCAAAAAGTGCAATGGAAACTGACTGTCAACTTGCATGGGCCAAAGCCTTCAGGGGTGTAACTGTAACAAAGTCAAGCACAACCACATCTTGGCTTTCAGCTTCCTGTCAGTGCTGCAACACGATCCTGTGGCTGGCTTGTGCAGCTTCAAAAGAGTATTTAACCGAGTGAGTGCTTTGATTCCTTATGAACCACACTTCCCCTGTCCTGTATCGCTTATTAGCCCCTCTCTCATTAACAAACATTGATGGTTGGAGAGGAACCCTTCTCCTGCCATCGTGTGGGTCCGTGGTGAGGGTGTGAATATGGGAATAAGGATGTTGGACCAAGGCTGACTAGTGGTTTTGGGGTATCCAGCTTGTGATGCCTTAAAGGGGCCTGATCAGAAAGTGCTGAAGACTCACCTTCTGAAAATCAGCTGTCTCAAGTTGGGTATCGCAAATCACTACTCATCTTTGAAAATCTTGGCCAGAAGGCCCTGGAGTCAATAGGAGTCCTTCCATTGACTTTAATAGGCTCTGGATCAGACCCTAAGGGCTGTGTCCAAACTAAACGCTGCAGTATCTCATTAAATCCAGGAGGATCAGGCTTGGTTCTATCCACTGGCAATTCCAGGAAATGCAAGAAGAGGAATCAGTGCCATGTTGGGGGCTTTATACCTTGGCAGCAAGAAGTTGCCATAGGAGAGACCAGAACCCAACCTCCTGCCTCCATATCATTGCCCAGGTTGATGGTGGTAGGGAGCACTAGGAAGGCTGGAGTAAGACTTGGTCTTGATCTTCATACTTCTGTTTCTTGGGGCATGGGACCACCGGTCTGCTTAGTGCCATGGGGGAGAGCTGGTTCGGACTCCCACTGAAACTCACTTCTCAGGACTGTGGTGGAGGGAGGACCACACGTCAGTCAGGGAAGAGAGGAGATGTATTTGCCCCAAGGCCTGCTCTAGCAGGATGTTGCACCACTGATGAATACCGGCAGGATGGGGAGAAGAGATGACTTGCATAATCAAGTCTCAGCCTGGACAGAAAGTTACTTCCTCCTTAGCTCCTTGAATCCAATCCCCTTCAGGGATGGCTTTTGTGTATTGTAGTTTAAATGAATTATTACTCAAAATTCTGTAGTAAAATGCCTATTTATCTATTTGTCAAAAAACATTTCCTGAATCTTTTTTGTTGTTTGTATTATTATTACAGACATACTCATTGACAGGTATTTTGAAATACATTACCAGAATAATTGAAACTGGCATGATTATATTGTGTTATTTTGACAAATAAAATATGCAAAATTTTGCAGAATTGTAAAATATTGTGTGCAGAATTTTTAATATTTTTGGCACAGAATTTTTAATTTTTTGGCACAGGGCCACATGGAGACACAGGAGGGATACCCTCAGTGTTTCTGAGACGCTTGCTGAGGGCAGCCTTCTTGCTAAGAATTGGAGCATTTTTGACAGAGATAGGATGTAGGGAGTCCAAATGCTAGAGACTGGGAACCAGTTTCTACCCACCTCTAATCTCGGCAGCACTGAGGGACAGGAGGCTGGAGGAGATAACAGTGCAGGTGCTTATTTACATCAGCATATTTTCGCATACACCTCATATTCATGTTGGTATAGGCTACTTCTCCTGGGAGTCTGTCCTGCATTCCCATTTCCCACACCCTTGGTATCTGTCTTCATGCATCTGCTAATACATACTGTTATGAGCTGGGTGAAACCTTGTGCTGGATAGAGTTAAAACCACATCGAGAGTGGTAGGTGTGAACTCACCCTTCAGTTAACATAACTCTAAGTATAAGCCCCACCTAAGACAAAAGGTGTATATGAAGCCGCTCCACAGCTTTTGGCTGAGTATTGTTTTGTGCATGTTTGTGTGTGTAAGCAAGAAAGGGATCACACAGAAACTGAGGTCAGACAAGAATAGACTGAGGCCTGGTCTACACTTAAATCTTAGGTTGAACTAACTACATCACTCAGAACTGTGAAAAATGTCATGCCCTAAGTACTATAGTTAGGTGTACCGGACCCCCAGTGTAGATGTAGCTAGGTTGGCAGAAGACCTACCCTCTCAGAGAGGTGGATTACCTACATCAGTGGTTTTCAACCTGTGGTTCCCAAACTCCTGGGGGTCCGCAGACTACATCTAAGATTTCCAAAGGGGGCTGCACCTCCATTTGAAAGTTTTTAGAGGCTCGCAAATGAAAAAAGGTTGAAAACCACTGGCCTACATTAATGGAAAAACCCCTTCCGTCAATGTAGGAAGCATCTA